TCTTTTTCCTTTCTTTATATCTCTCCCCCAGCTAGGAATTGGCATAAAATGGTTCAATAGTGAGCATTTCTGTTGGTTAGTTGGTGATGACATATATTGCTTAGAAATAGAGGTGGTGATGAATCTGTTAATTTTAAGGACTGACAGTTTGAATGTTTTTGTGGTGATTTGAGAGTACCTGTGCTTATATGCTATGTGTATGTTGGCAGGTAGTTTCAACAGGCACTTGGACAATTTACATCCTTTTATTAGATTTTTTTTATACATAACTGTAGCCTCAAGGACTTTACTTCTAGGTCTGTAGAAGAGATAAGGATTTTGATGTGGTTTTTCATTCATCTTTAGTCTAAAGATGAATCAAACCTAGTTATCTAGAGTTTAAATGAGAAAATAAGCCTTCCAGTTAAACTGACTTTTCAGATTCATTATGTTATTTTAAAGACTTGGTTATGGAAAAACAACTTTTAAAAAAAATACATTTTTTATTTCACCTAGGAAGGGAGAGAGAATTAGAAACATCAGTGCTGAGAGAGAATCATTGATTGGCTGCCTCCTGCACACCCCCTACTGGGGATCGAGCCCGCAACCCGGGCACGTGCCCTTGACCAGAATCGAACCCGGGACCCTTCAGGCCACAGGCTGACGCTCTATCCACTGAGCCAAACCAGCCAGGGCTCACAATTGGTCTTGTCAATGCGCAGTGTCCTAGTGCCCATCGTCTGTTGCCCCCACCAGCCCCGTGCCAGGGACATCTGGGCCCACTCATCACCCTCCAGGTCAGCTGACCAGTGAGGATGCTGGCTCTGGCCGCACCCACCCAGCTACCTGCCCCAGAGTGCTCTGTGTCTCAGGATGAGTTGGAGTTGTCACTTCCACTGGATGTTTATGATAAAGATTGGACCTGTTCCCACGTCTGTGGTGAAGCTCTTCCGTCTCCCAACTATACAGTAAACTTTAGTGTCACCCTGTGGGGTTCCCGTGTGTCCTGAGCCTTTTTGGATGGAACCACCGTCCTCCAGCCCTGTCTGAGGGCTTTGTCCTGGGCCTGCCAGGTCCCGAGCCGTGTCCCATAAAATTCTCTGATGTGAAAAAAAGAAGCAGCAGCAGCAGAAGAATACAGTGTGGCCCATGCAAATGTAAAAACTGTTGAGTGACCGAGGATCCCAGGGGCGAGGGGTGTAGGCCTCAGAGGCAGGAGCTGCCAATCCCCGTCCCCCTTGTTGGGGAGAGAATCTGATCAGACCAACCTGGTCAGCAGCCACCAGGACCCCATGCACAAATTTTTTGCACCAGGCCACTAGTTTTATAATAAAACTAATTTCTGGACACCGTTGTTGTTTTTTTACAAATGAGGCAATTTTATTTACCCAGCACTTGTTCTGATGCTTCTTGTTGGCAGCTGCCACCTGCGCTGCGATTCTGTGCAGATCTCTCTGTCCCTGAGGTGTCAATTTGCGGCCCCATCCTGATCCTTTTCCACCATTTTCAGCCCCTCCAGGGCATGGAGGACCCTGCGGGCCACGCTCTTAGAGCCTCTGCTAAAGTGGCTGGGGATGACACCATTTCTCTGTCGTCCTCCATAGATCTTGGTCATGGAGCCAATCCCAGTGCCTCCCTGAAGGTACAGGAGCTGCGCTGTGGAAGCAGCTCATGTGTAGAACCAATTCTCATCGTAGGGAGCAAGCTCATCATGCTTGGCCAGCTTGACAGTGTCCAGTCATTGAGGGACTTTGAGCTTTCCGGACTTTTTGAGGAAGGCTGCCAGAGCTCTGACGAGCTCCTCCTGGTTCACGTCTTTTACAGTAACGTATTCTTGTTGATTTCAGAAAGGAAGGGAGGGGGAGAGAAATAGAAACATCAATGATGATAGAATCATTCATCGACTGCCTCCTGCGCACCCCTCACTGGGGATCAAGCCCGAAACCCTGACATGTGCCCTGGCCTGGAATCGAACCATGGCCTCCTGGGATCTCTCTGTCCCTGAGGTGTCAATTTGCGGCCCCATCCTGATCCTTTTCCACCATTTTCATCCCCTCCAGGGCATGGAGGACCCTGCGGGCCACGCTCTTAGAGCCTCTGCTAAAGTGGCTGGGGATGACACCATTTCTCTGTCGTCCTCCATAGATCTTGGTCATGGAGCCAATCCCAGTGCCTCCCTGAAGGTACAGGAGCTGCGCTGTGGAAGCAGCTCATGTGTAGAACCAATTCTCATCGTAGGGAGCAAGCTCTTGGAGCCACACTGGCCGGGCTGCTTCTGGGTGTTTAGATCCACATTGGTTTTAAGGCTGTACTCTCGGACTTCATCAACTGTCCGAGCCCACGGTGGCTGCCATCGGCGTCACTGTCGCTGGAAGGCGGGCCCCTTCTCCACTGCCCACTGCCCTCCGCCTTAGGCCGTCCTGCTCCCTTTACTCGCCTATGATTGTCCGCTTGGCGCGCTGCCGGCGGCGTTTAAACTTCCTCAGGAACATGCAGGACCGCCAGTGAGGCTTGGAATGGTGGTGCTGCTGTAGGACGGGCTCTGCTGTGGTTCCGCGGCTGCCTGAGACTTTCAGGACCAGAGACAGCGCACCCTGGTCCGCACCTGTTTCCCAGGCAGCTCAGGGCTGGGGAAGGAGAGGTCTCCCCTCGCTGGTGGACTGGGAACGCGCCCCAGGCGGCCTCCCGCGGAGGGAAACACGAGTGGGTGCTGGTGAGCTGCTGGTCTGAGGACTCAGAAACGTGGGTTCAAATCCCGACGCACCACCGCCGATCTTCAAAAGGTCACACAAATGACAACAGAAAAACTAAAAAGCCTGGGTGATTTTCAGTGCCAGCTGTGTGCACGGAGCCCCGTTCTCATCCAGGTCCTGCCAGGGTGTATGTTACACAGAGAGGCGCTGTGTGCAGAGGGGTGCGTGGTAGTTGCTGTCCCCCTTTTCTTGTCTTGTACACAGTGATTCAGCGTTTATCTCTGTGAAGCCCTGATGGATGTGGCCCACGGGCTGCCAACCTGCTTAATAAGCAAATCATCCGAGGGAGGGAAATCTGATGTGCAGAGGTGCCCAGGGCCAAGGGAGGGACCTGAGGCAGGCCCGGAGCGCTCGCCTGTCTCCCTCCTCCTCCTCTCTCCCCATGTTCCCTCTGTGAGTCTGATCCGTTCTCCGCACAGCACCGGACTGTCTCTGCGCTGGTCCAGACACCAGAGAGGCCACGCACCGCCTCTCTGCCCCGCCCCACCCTCCAAACTCCCAGGGGAGGGGTTTGATTGGCCCAGCCTGGATCCCCCGCCCCTTGATCCAATCAGCTGCAGCCGGGGTTGGGGGTAGCGGCCCCTGGGGTGAACATGGCTGCCCCCACTGCGACTGTGGCAGAGGAAAGGGCTGTCCCCCTCCAGTGGATTCCCATGGGCTCCCTCCACTAGGGCAGGCGACTGTGTGATAAATGCTCAGAAATACAAGCTTACCCCGGCGCTCCCCATGCAGTCCCCATGGCGGCCACGCCATTCGCACTGCCCAATATACTGCTCGGCCCTGCTTCCGGCACCCGGTGTGGTCAGTCATTCACCCGACGGTGCCCGGGGGCAGGCGCTGGGGAAGGGGAACAGGCAGACAGGGGGCTCCTCCAGGGGCTGGTGGACAGACAGCAAGCAAGGGACCCAGCCCTGGTCACGTGGACGCTGCGCTCCTGTCCGGATGGCGAGTCCGAGGACACGTGCTTTAGCCTCTCTGGACCTCCTCTTCACCGCTGCTCTGATCAGGGTCCTCGGAGAAGCAGACCAGCCGGGTGTGTTTACTCCGAGGGACTGGCTGTTAACCGTCAGGCCCTTCGACAGAAGCTCGGGTGACCTGCTCTGTGCGTGGCCGGGACGGGGCTTGTCGAGAACAGCGGAGCACCTCTGGCTTTGCCTGGCTTGCAAGCTTACAAGGCGGCCTGCCAGCTTCAGAGACGCCGCATGGACACGCGCCTCCCAGCCGGAGACGGAGACCTTGTTTCCCAGGGCACCGCGATGCCCATCCGTGTTTGTGGAACGGATAGATGGCTGGACGCTCTGCAGTCCTGAGCGGCATACAAAATCCATTACCAGATTGTAGATACAAAGTAGTTAGCCATTTACATGCAATAAACATTAATATTTTAAGAAAAACGATTTTAAATATAATATTACATGCAACTTTTAAAATATATTTTTATTGATTTCAGACAGAGAGGAAGGGAGAGGGAGAGATAGAAACATCAATGATGAGAGAAGCAGTAATGGGCTGCCTTCTGCACACCCCCTACTGAGGATTGAGCCCACAACCCAGGTACATGCCCTTGACCGGAATTGAACCCAGGACCCTTCAGTCCACAGGCCAATGCTCTACTCACTGAGCAAAACCAGCTAGGATATAATACAACATTTATTTACACATTGTTGTTGTGGAAAGAAAACATGCAATGGCTGGTGTTTCTCAGTGGTTAGAGCATTGGCCTGAGGACTAAAGGGTTCTGGGTTCAATTCCAGTCAAGGGCATATACCTCGGTTGCAGGCTCGATCCTGAGGCCTGGTCGGGGTGTGTGCAGGAGGCAACCAATTGATGTGTCTCTCTCACATCGATGTTTCTCTCTCTGTCTCTCTCCCTCCCCTCCACTCTTTCTAAAAATCAATGGGAAAATATCCTTGGGTGAGGATTAACAACAACAAAAAGAGAGCTGAGGGAAATATGGCAAAATGTAACATCTATTACTTCTGGAGTGTTATTTCCTTTGACTAAATAGTTTATAATTAAGTAAAGGCGTTAACGTGGCTCCAGAGAGGTTCCTGATGACGCCTGGAGAATCTGGCCTCTGGTAACCTGGAGAGTGTGCTATTTTTGTCCTCAGACAAAGGCTGGAAGGCATTCATTTCCCCAAATCTTGTCTCGCCTGCTTTCAGGAGGCTGGTGTACTTCCCACGTGTAACCACTAGATGGCGCCAGCACACAGGGTTATAAATGGGAGCCCTTTTTTTTCTGTTTTTTGGTGTTTTTTTTTCTTTTGCCTCAGCAACTTGAAACAAGGAAAAGGCGATTTTTGCAAGACAGAAGCAGAGGCAGAGCAATCATTTGAGAACGTGAGACGCAGGTAGAGGTAGAAAACAGCACCCAGATAGCAAAAGGACCCCTAGTAGAAATAGCAATACCATTCACAGGTGTTGATACAGTGCGATTTTCTGGTCCTTAAAATTACCCAAGATGCAGTTCTTAGGCATCAAGACAGATGCCAACAGGGGGTTCAGGAAAACTCCAGTTCTCACGTCTGATTACCATTCCATTGAACAACCCAGAAGTGTGTGCACCCTCTCTCTGGAGGGCAGAAGGATTCGTGGGTAGTCTCCAGTGCCTGAACTTTGGCAGAAAGGCCCAGAGTTCACATCCTGGTTCTGCTTCTGAGCTGTGTGACCAATTGGGCAACGTCTTCACCTCTCTGGGCCTCAGTTTCTGACTTTAATCTAGGGGTAATAACAGTACCTAGTCCAGAAAACTGGTGCAAGTCTTGAATGAGATTATTTATACACACGACGTCCCTGGCACACAGTAGGCCTTTGAGAAATGGTAGAAGCATTAGACCCTAATGCTCAACCTGCTCTAAAGTAAGCACTTCAGTGGTTGAGCATCAACCTATGAACCAGGAGGTCATGGCTCTACTGGTCAGGGCACAGGCCCAGGTTGTGGGCTCGATCCCCAGTAGGGGACGTGCAGGAGCAGCCAATCAGTGACTCTCATCATTGATGTTTCTATTTCTTCTTCCCCTCCCCCTTCCTCTCTGAAATAAATAAATAAAAAATATATATGAATAATAATAAATAAATAAAGCAGTTCTAGGGAGCAAGGTCAAGGTTTCAAACCGGGAAGGTGAGAGTAGACTTCAATGCCCTCCTTCAGGGTAGAGATAGTCCCAGACACCCAACCTGGGAAAGGAAAGTGCTTAGATATTTGACGACCGTGTAAAAGAAACAGCAAGAAACCCTGCCCCTTCTCCCAGGTGGGGGACACACCATTCCTTCCTTCCTTCACTCATTAGACAAGTATTTAGAGAGCAGCTTCCCTGTGCTGGGGCCCTGGGACAGAGGGTGAGCAAGACAGACAGGGCCCCTCCCTCCCCTGGGGACATTCCGCCCAGTCAGAGCAGAACAGGTATGTGGTGAGGATCGGAGCAAAGGAGGTGAGGGCAGGGATAAGATCTCGTGAGTGAGGATTAGGGGCCCCGTGGGTCTCTTGGAGGGGGCTAGCCTTCCAAACATAAGGCTCTGAAAACAGCACGCAGAGCAGTCAGTACGTTCCAGCCCCCTGACATGAAAAAATAACAGGACGGTGGCACATTTGCATATCATCTTGCTCACTTTCTAATGTGTGCAACTTAGTGATTTTAGATAAATGCACAGAGTTATGCAACCATGAACACACGTAAACCAGTTTTAAAACATTGAATCATCCCAGTGTGATCCCTCACGCACTTTCCTCTTACTTCCTGCCCCCGCCCCAACCACTAATGCACGTTCTGTCTCTGCAGCTCTGCTCTTCTGGATGCTTTGTATACATAAGACCGTACAGTATGTGGTCTCTGTGTTTGGCTTCTTTTCCTGAGGGTAATATTTGTGAGGGTCATTCATGTGGCATGCGCCTGAGAGAGTTCCTTTTTCCTGCTGGACGGTAGGTATCCCATCGCAGGATATAGCACATGTTGTGTCTTCATTCAGCAGTTGATGGGCATTTAAGGTGGTTTCCCATTTCTGTGTGGCACATCAGAATTTCCCCTGGGGCCCTGACCATCGCTCAGGGGTTAGAGCGCTGGCCCAAGGACCGAAGTGCTGCGGATTGGATTCCTGGTCAAGGGCACATACCTGGTTGCAGGTTGGATCCCCGGCTCTGGTTGGGGTGAGTGCAGGAGGCAGCCAATCTATGTGTCTCTTTCACATCGATGTTCCTCTCTGTCTCCCCCAACCTCCCAACCCCCTTCCACTGCACTGAGGAGCCACAACAAAAAGAAAAAAAAATTTTAACCTACCGCCAGTGGGTGGACGGCCCAGCTTCTTGCTGGCTCGCTGATGCGTGTGTGTGTGTGTGTGTGTGTGTGTGTGTGTTGGGAGAAGTCCTGTGCTTATAACAGTGTCCAAGGGCACTGTGACCGCCCTCCCCAATGCTGAGCTTGATTCTAGATGGATGAAGCTGGTTGGTGAAGTCCATCTAAACTGGGTGGAGCCACCTGTGGCGCTAGTCAGAAAGTGGGGGCCTCTGCTTGGGGGCGACGCTCAGAGGCTGCCGAGTGGCAGCTGGAGGACAGTGGTCCGCAAGGCCAAACGACAGGACGCTGACCCGGATCCAGCTGTCCCGGTGGTGGGTCGGGGTGGCCGTCCTGCAAGTTTGCGGGTAGCGAGCGGTTCTGGGAACAGCATGGAGAAGCGAGGCGAGGCCCCCAGGCAGCCCAAGTGTCTGTAACACATACCAGGGGCCCTTGGCTGGGGGCCTGAGAGTGGTGGGGGAGTCCCCAAGCCCATTCCTAATGCAACAAGAAAGCAAGACCCTCCTTCCTAGAAACGGATAGCATTTCATTTTGACGGGAAGAATGTTTCTGAACCTTCAGAAAAGTAGGAAGCGCGCTGCCCTGAGCAGCCTCCTGCCGCGCCCGCCCGCCCGCACCTTCCCACTGAGCCGCCTCGTTCTCCCGCTTTTACTGGCCCGTTTGCACGCACTTGGCGTTAAACGTCGACCCTAACCTCCTCGTCATGCATCCCCGAAGGTCAGGGACACCCCTGTGGCACCACAGCACCGCCACGTCACCCCTTTTAGCTTTAGGTCAGGGATCTTCTCTGTTGCACGGTCCACGGTCACGTCCCCCACGGACCCGGTCACCTCCGTTACAGCTGCTTTTCCCAGGAGCCAGTCTCGGGCTAAGCCTCGCGCTGAGCTGTCATGGGAAACCAGACGCGGCCCTGAACCAGAAGGAGTGAGGTCGCTAGTCTGGGGGAGAACTTGCACTGGCCGGCGGCCTGAGGAGCCCTGCACACAGCCCCCCACTTCACGCTCCACGGCCCACGTGTTCCCCAGGGGCGGGCAGCTGCTGTCCTCGCAGGGCGCAGTGGCGTGGGCACCTCAAGGACCTGGCCCTCAGCCCTCTGCCCTGAGGGTGGAGGAGCCGGGATCCGAACCCCATCTGGCGACGCTGAGCGCCAAGACGCGGGAGTCCCAGCTCGGGCCCTGTCCTGGCGCCCGCCGCACTCTTGCTCAGCACAAGCAGGGACCCCGGGGCCTTGGTGAACCCCACGCCCGTGCGATGGGAGTTATTGGGCCGTGCCAGGTGGTCCGAGTCCAGGAGGTCTAGAGCTCCGCGCTCTGGGGGCCCCGCCGGTCCAGGCGCCCTGCTTGGGCTCTGATGTCCCTAGGGGTGGGGTGGGGTGGCCTCTGTCCACCTCAGACCTCCCGGAGGTTTTGAAAGGCCCTGAGCAAGCGAGGAAGGTCTGACAGAGGGTGGGGGCCTCGGGCTG